AAGTGGCTAACAACTGGGAAAACCTACCTAATAATGAAAAATCCAGCAAAAGGGGCAACACCAGGTAACTACAGGCCAATTACCTGCTTACCAACAACTTTCAAATTACTAACTGGTGTGGTAGCTGATGCAGTACAACAGCATCTAGTTGAAAACAATCTCTTTCCACCTGAGCAGAAAGGAAACCGCCCCAATAGCAGAGGAACAAAAGATCAACTCCTAATAGACAAAATGATCTTGGAAAACTGCAAGAGAAGGAAGACCAACCTGAATGTGGCATGGATTGACTACAAAAAGGCATTTGACTCTCTGCCACATGACTGGATAATCAAGTGCCTAGAAATAACAGGAGTCAGTAGAAACATCAGAAAATTTGTGCAAAGATCGATGGCACAATGGAAGACACAGTTGCAGATCAATGGTGAGAGGCTGGGAGAGGTTAATATCAAGAGAGGAAGATTTCAAGGAGATTCATTATCACCATTACTATTTGTTATTGCACTGTTTCCTCTGTCAACAATACTGAATAACTCAGGACATGGCTATCAAACATCAAAAACATCTGCCAGACTATCCCACCTCCTTTACATGGATGATCTGAAGCTGTATGGAAAAACATCATCTGAAATAGAATCGCTGCTCAACACTGTCCGTATATATAGCCAAGATATTGTAATGGAGTTTGGCTTGGACAAATGTGCCACACTTACTATCAAACAAGGAAAAATAGTGAAAACTGAAGGAATCAAGATGCCCCACGAAAATAACATTAAGAGTCTGGATGAGGAAGATTACTACAAATACTTGGGTATCCTTCAAGCTGACAACATCAAGCACACTGAAGTCAAGAAAAAGATTAGAGGTGAATACATCAAGAGAGTGAAGAAGATCTTAAAGTCCAAACTCAATGGAGGAAATACCATAAAGGCAATCAACACCTGGGCAATTCCAGTCATTAGGTACACAGCTGGAATAGTGGACTGGACTCAAGCAGAACTAAAAGCAATGGATAGGAAGACCAGAAAAATAATGACAATGAATCATGCCCTTCATCCACGCAGTGACATTGACAGACTTTATCTACCAAGGCAAATAGGTGGGCGTGGAATGCTACAAGTACATCAGATGGTTGAAGAAGAAAAAATGGCTTTGGAAGAATATCTGAAGAACAATGATGAAGATGCACTGAAATTAGTATATCAGGAAGGCTTACTAACTACTGGAGAGACCAAACTGGCCTACAAGAAAGACCAAATGAAGAACAGAATAGAGGCATGGGAAGACAAAGCACTACATGGCCAATACATTAAAAAAATAGCTGGGAAAGCAGATAATAACAAGACCTGGCAATGGCTAAGAGCAGGAAAATTGAAGAAAGAGACTGAGGGACTAATTCTGACTGCACAAGACCAAGCCTTAAGGACAAATGCATATAAAGTCAAAATTGAGAAGACAGAAACACATACATACATACATACATACATACATACATACATACACACACACATACACGCACACACACACACACACACACACAGACATATATATATATATATATATATATATATATATATATATATATATATATATATATATATATCATAAAGGTAAAAAAGGATATATGCAGTGTTATCTTCATTTTAGATATCAAAAGGGTCTCTCTCTGTGTCTCTCTCTCCCTCCCTTTCTTTCTGCCCTTGGTCTGCCAGTCCTCTTCCCCCACTCTCTCTCTCTCTCTCTCTTTCTTCTCTCTCTCCTTCCCCCCCTCTCTCTTTCTCCCCCCCCTCTCTCTCCAATCTTCTACTCACCTGGCAAGCTGATTTCAAGCTGTTCTCCAACAAGCTCAGGGGTAGGCAACCTCGGCTCTTTTATGACTCATGGACTTCAATTCCCAGAATTCCCGAGTCAGCATAGCTGGGCTAACTAGCGGCTCTGGAGCCGCTGGTTGCCGACCTGTGCCCTATACTATACCTGTACATTTGTTTTTTCTTGCGTAAATGTAGAACCTTACTTTTTTCACCATTGAATTTCATTTTGTTAGATAGTGCCCAGTGTTCAAATTTTTGTTTAGCAACCCCAAAGTCAGTCAAAATCTCTCATCAAACCACTTCATAAAATAGGCCTAGAAGTTACCCTAATCAATTATATGAATTAATTTTATTTTTGTCCAAGATTCACATTGCACAAATTAATCTTCCTTCAAGAATAAAGGGCCTTTTTATAATATATCACTGATATAATTACTTAATAGAGTTTTTCCTACAAGTTTTTATTATTATTATTGGATCAGAATACCTGTAACTAATGATACCTGTGTACACATAGACACACAAACACACATACAAACACACACACCATTGTTTACTAAGCAAGCTTAGAATACAAGAGTAACTACATTAAGGACATGTTCAATTATGCTATGATGAAGAGAAAGAGATGGTCAGTGATTCCACCCTACATAGCTATTTAAAATGAAAACTGTATTCTATAATAGATCTGCAATATGACATGCTCTAACTTTAATTCATATTCCAGTTTATTTTTCCCATTGGCTTAGGCATAGAATTAAACAATGCAAGGTAAGATTCCTAAAATGAATGTTTGATTCTTCTCCTTCAGTAATCGTGTGTGTGTGTGTGTGTGTGTGTGTGTGTGTGTTAAATTTGGATTGCTAACAAAGAGTTAAAGAGTTAAAGGGAATATATATATATCCTGCTATTAGCCCTAGAACTACAGCAGTTGATAACCTTGTACTCAGATGAGGCACAAAAATGAGCAAACACTACTGGTAATCTAATATCAAACATCAAGGCTAAATGTCTAAAAATTTTGGCTTGAGGTAAACCTACATTAAATAATTCAAACACATAATTTTCAAAAATCAATATTCTTCACGGTTCAAGTTATATAAATATATCTTCTCATTATATAGCCAGAGTTCAAAGAGACTTACAAAAAAAACTTCAATTATCATCACTGTAGATTGCATAGATTTGGATTAATTTATCAGAAGTGAATACTTAATTTTGCAGGTGCTACTGACAGGAATGTCTCTGTTGCTGGAACATGTTGATACAGACCTGGATGGGATTGATAGACAAGCTCATTTATTGAAGCTTGTTTAGCTTAATTTGGGAGGTTATGAAACAGATTATTGGAATGAACTTTCATTTGAAAGTGTATTGTTGGGTAGTTTTTCTGGTTCCGATCATTGAATGTATTAACCTCATGTCAATCTTGCTATTTAAGCATTACAAAAATTCCTATACAGCATGTAGAACGTTCTTTATCATTTTATCAGATTACCAACTGCTGGCACTTTACCAATGAGTCTCTTATGTATATTATGAAGTGATCAGAATAAGACTTTTGTAGGAATATACTGTAGAGAGAATTTCTTTATCAAGTTGGGAAACTTACCTTGCATTGCGAGAAGAGGTAACAGAGAGGCTGCATTTTTTTTTAATTTGGTCTGGATGGGTACTGTCAATGTTAGCATGAACTATTGCCACTCAAAAATTGCCACCTGAGACTATTTCTAAGGTAGTCTTTGCTTGTCTTCTGATTTTTAGCCTGTTTTGATAGCATAAACGACTAAGACATCAGCTTCTCCAGTCAGTTACCACACTATACCTGCACAGTTGGATCTTTATTCAGTTGAGTGGCCATTCATGTGTTGTTGTCTGCTGCAAAGAAGATTGTGAGATTGGCACTTCCTCTTCTTCTATCTTCCCGGAGTGGAAAAGGCTAAATGTTTGTAATTGGACATCTGAGGTCAGCACCACCCAGACAAAGGTGGTGGGTGGTCTTCTCCATTTCAATCTTTCTGATTTTCTAACCCCCACTTCCTGCTGAGACCATGGTAGTTGGTGTCAAAAAGTAAAATGACGCAGAGATGGAATGCCTTGAGAAGCTCTGGTATCACAGGGTTTTTCTAAGACTTCCTTTCTATCTTGAAAATGGGAAAAGAAAGTAAGTTTCCAAGAAATTCAGGCAATACTTTTAACAGGAGTAAGTTTAATTTTGAATAGTACTGCATTACTGATACTTGTTTTAGAATTGTAGACAAAATACCATAAGTATTTGTGTGTTTAAAATGTGTGAAGTCTTCCTAAACAGTATAAAACTTTAAATAAACTCACATTTGTATGTATAACATATATATGTAAACAGGAGCTATTTTATCCCTTCAGTAACTATAAGCTATAGGTAGTTTTAGAAAGCAAAGTACAGAGAACACTATGCTATTTTAAATCTTTATTTATTAAATTTATAAATGAATATAATATATAGATAAAACCGGTATGTACTTTGTTAAATTTAAATATGTACTTTGTTCCATTTATAAAATGTTCAAGCTTACTATAATACAAACAGATTTCATGAACTGATTTCTAGTATATGAGAAAACAGGACAAAATTATTGCCTACAATATGAACATTGAAATTTTAAAATATTTATCTATGGAAATCATTTAAATAATAATAGTAAATAGTTTACTGAATAAATCTACAGACCATTTCAACTTAATATTTAATAAAAGTTATCTTTGCTCATACTAAGATGCACCTGAGAATTCTTAAAACACAAAGTCTACATTTCATCAATTAAAAACATCTAGTATATTTCTATCATATCTCATAGTATTATTTCTGCATGTACTCAGTATATATCTGTCTATATTCCCCAGTTAACAAAGTCAAGAAAATAATGCTAGACTATATTTTTAGATTTCTTTTTTCTCCTGAAAAAGAGCTACATACATTGGCAATTGAAGTGTAATGTCCTTATTACTAGGAAGGTCAGTTTAATTAAAAAATATATTATTTCTCAAGTGAGGCTTGATGTTAAAGTAATATTGAAGTATAGCCACTGAAGACTGATATATTTTCCCTGAAATTAAATATATATAGCATATATATATTAAATTAAATATATATAGCATATATATAGCATATAGCTAGAACAAAGTTTGTTGAGTAAAAGAAACAATCTGGTCTTCCAAGAAGCTGTTTATTTGCCCCTTAACAGGTACATCACATGTCACACATAACATATCTTTTCTCTAATGTACTGCTTCTATGATAAAACCACATTTATTCAAAAACAGAACATATCTGTAACTTTCTCCACAAAAGGTATTTTTGACACAACACATTCAAACTAAAAGTTGTAGAGGTGCCGTTATAGGTAGAATACCTGCTCTTCGGACTCACACACTCCTGGCTGATACAAAGAATGCTAGGAGGAACACAGACAGCCATTATTACCACAGAATATGTAACAAGTATGAGATTATGCTATAGTAATTAGGATAGCTTTAAAAGGGCATTGGAGAAATTCTTGGAAGACACATCTATCAGGAACTATTCATCCCCAAGGTTCAGTATTACTTTCATATATCAGTTCTGGTGAGTAATAGTGGGAGGACTATATATCTCCATCTCCAATCAGAGCTATCTGACTGGCCAGTGAAAGAAACAAATGCTGGGCTATGGGTCTCAGTCTGAATAGGTTCTCTAGTTTTAATTCCATTGCCTTTGGGTTTGAGCCACACCTTTCCCAAGTCTTTTGGGTGTTCTGGCAAGTTGTGAATGGAATCAAGGAATCAATGCTTCTTTGAGAGACAATAATGCTGCCTGCCTTGCCAGATGCAGTAGTGGATCTTATTTTGAATATACTTGAACTGAGTTATGCTTGATAAATTTTGTCTGGTTTTCAACTTTTTAGGGAAGCTTATTAAGGTGACAGCAAATCAATTTTAGACGATCCTCAAAGAAATGGATTATCTAGGCCAGTGGTTCTCAACCTGTGGGTCGGGACCCCATTTGGGGTCGAACGACCATTTCACAGGGGTCGCCAAACAAGGCTGTCCGCCATTTTTTTCCCCTTTTCTTTGGCCACGCCCCTGGCACCCGGTGATGTATAAGTGGTTGGGAGTCACCACAACATGGGGAACTGTATTATGGGGTCGCAGCATTAGAAAGGTTGAGAACCACTGATCTAGGCCCTTGCCAAACAAAGTTCATTTATAATCCTGATAAATCCTAGATTGGTTGAGTAAGCTTCCTAGATCCTATTAATCTTTCAGCAGTAATTGATACCACGAAACACACTGTCCCTTTGGACCACCTACAAGGTTTGGGAACTGGTGGTTCCATTGCTGTGCTATCTGAACTGTAGTTCTAGCCAGTGATCATGGAGAAAGTGCTCAAGTTCATGGAATCCCAATATGAGGTCTGCGTGCCCTCCCCTACATTGTTAAATTTCTACATAAAACATAAAAATATCTATCAGTTCAGGATCAATTCTCCTCAGTACTTTGATTACTTTTAATTGTACATCATCACCCCAAGAGGAGCTGGAGATACCATTAAAGTCCTGAACTGGTGTCTAGAGGCTGTAAGGATCTAGACAGAAACAAGCTGACAGACAGAAACAAGTTGAGATTAAATCCTATAAGACAGAGTTATTAATCATGAGTAAACCAATCTGCTAACATTAGATCTGGTATTGATTTAGGTTTTTATACTCTTTTATACTCTTCCCCCAAAGGATGTTTGTGAACTGTGGGTATCTCTGCTTCAAGCAGGAGGTGGATGCTATGATAGGGACTTTAGTTAATATTTACACCTCTGCATGACTAGAATGGACTGACATAAGTAACTTACTCCTGATTACTACAACTGGATTCTACTACATACTTTGTGTGGTGCTACCTCTGAGACAATAAGAAAAGTGCAGTTGGTATATAGCAGTCAAAAATAACTCCAAATTTAATGTTGATGCACTGGTTATCAGTGGATTCTTGACTCAAGTCAGAATGCTAGCTATTAGTGATAAAGTCATTTTAAATGTAGCACAAAGGATAAATCAAATAATGGCTTGTTAAAACTTAATTTGCTTGCTCAGCCTGGTTATTGTGAAAGATTGTGGGAAATGGACATAACAAGAGACAGAGGGTTTAGTAGTTTATTTTATAAATAGCAATTCAGCTGAGATAGCAAGAAACCCGAGAAAAGGAATTTCAAATCATTCAAAAAAATTCCACCTTAATGAACTGATTTAAATGAAAGTGATAAATTCTGCATTTATCCTAAAATTCACATTAATGATATCTTAATTAATGAAGTTTGTACAGTTCTTGCTTCTTTGATCTTGCCCAATTGAGTGACCATGATAGTTACCCAGAGAAGGCCTATTGAGAATATCATACCTCATATGGAACAAATATCTGGGGGATGGATTGGATAGCAAATCTTCTCCACAACGGCCTTCACTTTCTGGAATACCACTCCCGTCTTGTGACATCATGACTCCTTACCTAGTAGTCTTCCTCAAACAACTACAAGCTATGTTTTTCAACAAGCCTATGGCCTCAGTTGATTGAGAAATGGTGCATATTATAGGGCTGAATTTAAAGATTTGTATTACTGTCTCCATCTTATAAAACAAGCTGCAGTTTTTCTTTGTTAAAACACAAAACCAGTAGTTTACATTTTGTATTTTGTCAGAAGAATTAGAGTCCAGGTTCAATAGAAGAATTCAAGAAGCATTCATGATACTTATATACATGTCTACCATCTTCATTTTCAGCCTTAAACTTGATAGATTATTCACTACTTTCAAATATCACTTATTTGCACTGTCTCTTTATGCACAAGTAAACATAGTTTTTTCACATCAATTCCCGTTTGAGCTGAAGTAGCTGCTGATATGCAATAAATTGCTAAAGCATAAAGGATGAAATCTTCAGAGCAGGTATCCTTTCTGTCCAATCATTGCCATGCTATTCAAGAATATTATTTGCTGAATGAGTATCAGCATTTAACTAATTTTTTGCTTTCTGTAAGAGGTGAGACTTCTTCGCCACACATGAACTGTTCCTGAAATAAGAAAACAAGACTCATACATTAATGTATATATTGTAAGTACACATATATATTGTATATGTATTAATATAAGGCTGGTACAAATCCGAATAATGAATGATTTATTTTAATGGCAAAAAATAACTTTCTGATAAAATGTTGTCTACAAACAACATCACTGCAAAAGAGAGCACTTAATATCATGGGAAAACAAAACAATTCAGTGTTATAAAGACAGAAGAAGCAAACTGCCCCAATATTGCTTCTAACTACGAGGGCAATTCAGAAATAAACCTCCATTTGGTTATCAATGGCAGACACAGATACAGAACTTTTATTATACACATTAGAAAACTACAAGATTACATTACTTTTCGACATAATTGCCATTCAAACTGAGGCACTTGTCATACCGTCTTGCAAGGTTTGAAATTCCTTAGTAATAGTTGCTCGGTGCCAAATCTGGGCTATGGAGGTAAATCAAAACATCCCAACAGAACTGATTCAAAAGTTCTTGGGTACGTTTAGCAGTATGCAGGCGAACATTATCGTGAATCAATACCACACCAGAAGTCAGCATGCCCCGATGCTTGCTATGGATGGCTCGTCTGAGTTTTCGTAATGTTTCACAGTAGACTTCTGAACTGATGGTCGAACCATGCTCCATGAACTTCACTAGCAGTACTCCTTTGGCATCTTCACATTTGGCAGGATTTTCTATGGCCCACTTCCAGTGTGGTATTGGTTTACGATAATGCTCACCCACATACCACTAGATACACCCAAGAAATTTTGAAGCAGCTCTGTTGGGATGTTTTTGATTACCCCCCCCCCCTTAGCCCAGATTTGGCACTGAGTGACTACTACTAAATAATTTGGAACCCTTCAGATGTTATGACAAGTGCCTCAATTTGAACGGCAATTATGTTGAAAAATAATGTAATGTTGTAATTTTCTTATATAATAAAAGTTCTGTATCTGCGAGTGTCTGTCATTGATAACCAAAAGGTTTATTTCCAAATTGCCCTCGTAATATTGTTTTTTGCATCATCATCCTCTTGTATACCAACCCCTATTTCATAACTAACAGGTGAAATCATTTAATTAGGTTTAAAGGCAGATGAGATAAAATGAATAGTGATACAAATTATTCACTGAACTTCTTTCCTGAAGTATAGTGAATCTTCAGTGAATGATTAAAAGATAGGTTGCAATCCAAGAATTATCCTATAATTATCTTTTAGAATTACTATGCATTCAAAATGAGAGGGAGAAGAATTTATTAAGACAGACACCCTAAAGATCAGTTACTTGCTGTTCTCCTGGTAACTCTATCTCTGCCTACTTAAGCAAATAACTCAAAGATAATTACTTTGTTATTAAACTTGTTGTGGGGATCTAAAATAAATAAAACTCACCAAAAATAGGTGATTCAGAAAATAACATGAAATACATATTAAAATACAAATTAGATTATTTACTCTTTAATTACATTAATTTTTTACTGAAGTCAATAGGCTTTAAGTGCAATTAACTGACTTCTGTTATAGAACATCTGTAAGAAATGTGGTATGAAACAGAAATGTATTAGATAATTTTCACACTTGTGGAGCATCAAGCTATTATTACTACCAGGGCACCACAGGAAATATAATTAAATTTGCAAGTATTTTACATGCATACAAGTATCCAAGGAGAAAAGAAACTATTTTTATCAGAAAAAAAAATGTAGAATTGTCACCATTTTCTACACTTTCCCCCTTAAGATGGCAATAGCTTAGGAAACTAATCAGTAAGTCATCTTACTGCTTACTTATTCAGTTATTAAAATAAGTATCTCCCATACAGTCTGGGATGGGCAAAAAGAAGAGACAGAGATCTAGCCCAGAGATTCTGAACAAATAAAGGTCACCTAACAGCCAATATTTCTGCTGAATATCAGAAACCTTTCCACATAAGGATATTACAAGTATACTATTGCCTCCAATTTATCAAGCAAAAGTTATGAAAACAAGAGAGACCTGCCAGGACAATTACTAAAGAAAGGTAATGTATTAAAGGTAAGTACTAGCAAACATAATTCTCTTGATAGAACAGCCTATAATGAAATTAACAAATTCACAGATAAAGCTAAGTAGATGTGATGTCTAGCTATTTCCTCTGGACTGCACAGACTGTGCTAGTCCTGTTTGAACCTCTTGGTCATGTTAGAACTGATAAGCTGAGGAATGAAATACCAGCACATATAGAAGTATGATCAAAGTGACAACAACAATCTCTTCACCTCTCTTATCAGGTTGCTGGTTCTAAACCAGGGGTGTCAAACTCGCAATGTCACTTGATGTGTCACGACATATCGCAACTTTTTTGCCACTGCTGGCAAAGGGGTGGGCGCAGTTTCGCTATGGTGCATCCGGCCCACAGGCCAGCAGTTTGACACCCTATTCTAAACTATGCCTTCTAATATGCAGGCAGAAAATAGATCATAAAACCTATCTAAAAAATAAGACAAGCACTATATATACATATCAAAACAAACTAATAGGCAGATGGGACTCTATTTGCTAAGCCATCTGCTTCATTGCTAACTTCAGACCACACTGAGTGGGATAAATAGGTATTTTCTGTAATACTTCAGTTATTCCATCAATGCTTTAAAGAATGCAACAATTTTCTGTTTTGATATCTTTCTATCAAGGTCTAATATAAATTAGGAGGCACAGAAACTGTTGATCTATATTTCTATTGTGCAAGATGATTCATCTACTACAGAAATAACAGCTGAGCTGTTCAGACTTTTCACAGACTGACTGAAAACAAATTTCAGGGACTGTTCTTGATTTCCTGGAATACTAATGGGTAAGAAGCCAAGATGGGCAATTCCTCTTTCTTGAACCTAATTCGTTCATATGATCTAATCATGCTATTAGAGACATGATTTTAAGAGAAGCTGTCCTCCAAGCTTTCAGCTAGTGCAGAATTAATTAAAGTTTGCTATACACTCTTTAGAAGCCACATTGAGAGCATCTAAGAACCAGACTTGTGGAAATCTTTGCACCCTGTTTAGAAACAATTTTATGTTAAAATCACTCAACTTCAATCATATGAAAACCTGATCTTAATTTCTATTATTATTTTATCCAGTCAAAGTCTCTTATCTGGCAATGTTTATCCTCCTTTTTCCTGCTTTCCTTAATCAACATTCTTTGGAATAACATGGATGTAACATTTCATTCCATCTCTTGGGAACATCCAAACGCAACCCTAATTGTTACAGGAATTTAATGCCAGAATTGGTCCCACTGATACAATGCCTTTCTCCTGCTTTGGAAGGTATGTCTCCCCTTCTAAGCGATATTTGGATAACAAGGTGAGACACTACAGCAGGCATGTCAAACTGCCGGCCTATGGGCCGGATGCGTCATGCCGAAACCGCACTCACCCCATTGCCGGCAATGGAGAAAAAATCGCAATACGTTGTACGACATCACATGATGTCGTGAGTTTGACATGCCTCAACTATAGGAACTTGGGAACAAACATAGCAAATCAATGCTTAACACAGCTAGCTAGGGATGTTTAGCTTTGCATATTAAATAGTGTAATGAAAGGTGATTAAGGAGAACTCACATATTGGGGGGCCCAATAATCAATTATATTCTGACCTCACAGCATTTATTTAATAAAGTGCTCATTTTTAAAGTTGGTCTCTGACCACAGTGGCTCCTGCTCATTATTCCACTTTGACTAAAATTATCATCTATCCAAATTAGTTAATATTAGATGTTCAAAAAACAGTCTGTGGAGTTCAAATCATTCACAAAACTAAATGAACTGTAAAACAGGCACAATAGATATACCTTTTCCTAATCAAGAATGAGTTCTCTTACATCTATCAACAGATAGATGTTAGCAGCTCCAACAGATACAGCAAAAAAGATATTTTATCGCTCATTATATTTGGCAGTTATTATGTATTGTTTAAGTATTGTAGCTACATAATAAACTTATATGCCATCTAACTCCCAATGACTTTGGATGATCTTTGCTGGTTATTGACCTTGAATAAATAAAATGTCACCACTTGTGAAAACATAGTCTAAAACAAGTACAACATCCACCCCTGCTCATTCCTCACCTTGTCGTAGATCACTTTGACTATAAGTGAACAACTTGGGCAGGTTGCTACATCTTCTCCATTCTCCAGATCTTCCTGCAATAATATATAAAAATTTGACCTCTTAATAGCTATTTAATGTGTAAATGAAGATGGCAAAATCCAAGTCCTATCTGCTAGATATTTTTGAAATAACAGAATACTTCTCACAACTGTATGCGGTCTCAAATCACTGAACTCCTCCTGTTAAAATTTGAAGTCAATAGGTAGAATATCAGGGTATAAAGCCAACTGTCCATATGCTAATTTTTCTGCCAAAAAGTAATGTGCATTTTTCGCCTCAAAATCTAAGTATTTTGATTTTTAAAGATGTCTTCTATGAATCTGCACAATATTACAACTGGTTGAGCACACTGGAAAGAGAAAAGAAATGTTAATTTATTATATATGATGTCAATCTCAATTTTGTTTTGGATTTCTCAAGAGAAAAGAACTCCAAAACAAAAAGGCACTATAGTTTCCTCTAAAGGCCCTGAACTCAGCTCAATAATTCACTTACAGACAAATTCAGCACTGCTCTAGGTGGCAGATGTCCTTCAGAGTGTTTTGTTTAAGTGATTTATTAATATTATCTTCTCTGAAAAAAAAGTATCTTGCTGATCATACTTACCATAATATCTATATAGGACTGACTTAAAAGCTTCATTTTAAAAACCAGTTAAATGCTTAATTCTTTCAAACTCTACCTCGTGAGATCTTAGCAGTTTAGACATTTAGATACTGTTCTAATTTTAGCTTAGGGCATATGTTCATCAGAAGGAAACTAATAATAGATCTCAATTTCCTATGATCAGAAATTAATTTTTATCTGTTCAACCATATCTATACAAATTATTTCCCAAAATCATAATGCTGAAATGCACAGCTTGGGTAAATGTGGACATTTCTCTGGACAGACTCAATTAAATTATGACATTCTGAAGAAATCTTTCAACTCAGAAAAGAACAACAATAAATACCCACAACAGTTCCCTCAAAGCTGAACAATGTCTATCCTTGCCTCAGGAACATAAAGTCTACATTATCTAATGCTATATTAATTGATCCAATTTAGTTTTGAGATAAGATTAAGCTGTGGATCCTGATTTTTAAACCCAGGTTAGGATGGCACTGCATTAAAATGCTTCTGTCCATCTAAAGCTTTCTCAGGCTTATCATTTTTTTTTTTGTATTTAATAAGATTATATCCAGTCTGCCTTGCCCTATTATCAGCATACCAACTTCTCATTGAACATCTCTCTTAGTTGGAACAAATTATTACAATATTTTATAACCACTCTGACTGAACAGAGGAGCAGCATCAGCCCTCCCCAACTTGTCACTTTCTAGATGTACTGGCCACAACCTCCTCAATCCTAAACCAGAAGTGCTTGGAGTCCAAACATATTCGGAAAGCTCTACAGCAATGTTTATCAAACTTGGTGAGCTGGCAATTTTGGGAGTTGAAGTCCACCCATCATAAAGTTGCCAATTTGAAAAACACTGCTCCAGTGTCTAGCTTGCAGAAGATGGAAAGGCAGCAGGCTTAATGGTCACCTATATTCGCAGTTCTACTTTCCTACATGACGAACAGTCAAGGACAATCTGTATTTTGATGGTTTGCTCCATCACGTAAAAACGTATGTCACATGGCAATGTCTCTTGTCCCTAGAAATGACTGGCTCACTCATCCCCTTACCCGCGTAATAAGAAAGCGGTCTCCACAGGGGCACGGATAGCTGTAGGTCTCCGTATCTTCATCGTACTCGAAGTCCTCTATCTCCACTTCGTCATGGAAAATGGACATGTCGCAACACGATTCTTTGCCTCTCTCCGCCAAACGTAGCTAGCGCCGCGTGACCAAGAAAACCGGCAACGGCACTAAAACAAAGCAATCTAAACCTTCACCGCCACCATATTTGTTCCGGATTGAAGCAACGAATGATTTCTAGCCAATAAGCATTCAAGATGAGATTTGACACCATCTCTAAGTCGCATGGTATCCAATAAAAATGAGTGAGGTAGAACTCGTGCTCAAGACAAAAAACTATAGAGCTGTAAAAATTTAGAAAGAAATACTATATCCGTTGCTCATGGGTTCGAACAGCGGTGTCATCCCATTAAAAAAGTGACCAATGAGACTCCAAGATTGAAGAGGGAGGATCACGTTCTTGCTGGGGGGGGGAAAGGGGGGGGTAAGCAGCACCTCAGAACTCCGGCTTACGTAATAACAAAGGATTCCTATAATCCCACCCCTAACTTATAGAACTAGAAAGTATAGAGCAGTTTTTCCTCATTCCCTGGCAACTTTGAGATGACCTCAACTTTCAGAATTCCTTAGCCAACAATTCTGAGAGTTGAAGTCCACACAACTTTAAATCTGCCGAGATTAAGAATCACTGCTGTAGGGTGATGTGCACTTTGTTCCTCTGCTTGAAATTAAAAGCCGGTGTTTTTCACCTCCATGTCGGACGGTCTTTTTTTTATATATCATTCCTATTGAGCCCACAGTAATATCGCTCTGACCTTGACTCTTCTGTAGAAATTGTCCATTTTTTCGTTAATCTTAAGAGTTAGGCCTAAAAAGCATGAAATGAATTTCTTAAAAAAAAAAAGTCACCGACCTGCAAAAGCAGAATCATTTAAACCGGAAGTGCCGAAATCAGAGCTGGGATGGTACCTCCCATTTTAGGGACCGTTTCCGCTGAATTTCTCCGGGTGCCGGTTATTTCCTTAGGACTTTGAGGAAGGCGCTCGAGTGTTATTGTTGGCTTCTAAATGATGTAGTTAGGCTGGAAATTTAGCTGGAAGAAGCGGCGTTCAAGGAAGCGCTGGAGAAATAAATGCAGTCTGTCAAAGCTGAAGAGAAAAGGAAGATCTGTCTAAAATAATGCTTCATCCATAATGAAGAAATAAGGGTTCGCGGTCAAAAACTGAGAAGCTGGATCCCATTTAGTAAAATCTGCTTGTGAAATGATCACTCTGTTGGGCACTTCGCGCCCTGTGAGGTGAGTCGGACGAAAGACGGTTGGATGGGGCCAAAGGTGAATTCTGTGGTAGTTGATCTGTTCCTGCTCTTCGGGCCTATTGACAGTTTGAAATGACCTTAATGTGTATTGAGCTGCAGACGCAACCATCTCCAAGCAGCAATAACTTAAGGAAGCCCAATTAATGTGTTTATAATCCAATTATCTATCTGGTTTTTCATTCATTCCTTTCCAAATGAACCAGCTGAACTACTGTTTATCTAATGTAGGATGAAAAAATTACCACTGATGTTCAGAAATAATTACATTAATTCCCATTTGTTAGTGAATATATACAGAAGATGGTAAGGCAGCCTGGTGCCTTCAAAATACTTCAGAATTCAACTCTTGTCAGTCATAATCAGTAGGCATGGTAGTGACTTTAAGGCAGTGACTATACAGCACCCTAAATCATATTTTGCCGAATTATGGTTAACAAAATCCCAGTTGGCTGAGTTCCTACATCATAAATCATTAACCATCCTTTACCAATCATAATGGCTGAGCCTGCAGAGCATACTAAGTCGGAAACAAGCAAATTCCATTTTGCTTAGTATAGTGTGTAATCTAAGAATTGTTACACTGAAACAGGATTTTTGAAGTTAATGGTAGTTGTTAATGAGAAAAGTATAAAGATATTCTATGTATAACATAAAATATTAGCCTTATGTAACGGAAGTAGTCGCAGCAGCACATAATTGACTTTAGCTTATCTTAAAAACTGAGTTCCTGATTATTATATGAGAGATCATCAGGAAATACCAACACTATAGGATACATTGGGAATTCAAGAAAACAACCAGGAAGAAGGAGATGTTCCATAACTTAATTTATAATGGAAACCCAGACAAATATATGGTTTTAAGAAGTCACACAGAAACCCAATTACTCTTGTTCCAAATATTATCCATCTTATGTCAAAGGAATAAACATTTGCTCTTTCTAAAAGTGGATGTTTGAAATGTTTTAGCACAAGAGATTTTAAGTGCCAGCAGATGTCACTATTGTACATTACAAAAGTTAATGTTACAGAATATGTAGGAAAAGGAAAGAAATGCTTATTTGTACAGTACAGTTCTTATGTAGTACAAGTATAATAATCCAAGTGTTAAAATGATTACTATAACAATGTAATAAATTGAAATGTTAGCAAAATATTAAGAGCTTTGGGGAATTTTAAAAGAGCCAGTATAGGCTAGCGCAGTGGTTCTCAACCTTTTTAATGCCGCGACCCCCAACCGGTTGTAAGTCAAGGGCTACTCAACCGGTTGTAAGTTGAGGACTACTCAACTGGTGCAGCACCGATTGCAAAATGGGACTTTTGGCGGGCTCAGCAGGGCAGAGACAGCCTGGACAATTCCTACTGGCTTTTGTAAGCCAGTAGAATTAGACTCTATTCAAGAGAGTCTATTCTATTGGCTTTCAAAAGCCAATAGAATAAAAGGGAGTAGAACAGCTAAGGAAAAGGGGGAAAAAATGGGGGACTGTGTTGTTTGGCGACCCCCGTGAAATGGTCGTTCGACCCCAAATGGGGTCCCGACCCACAGGTTGAGAACCACTGGTCTAGTGGTTAAGAACCAGGTTACAAAGCAGAAGATTATGAGCTTAAATCCAGTCTTAGCCATGAAAGCCAGCTGGGTAACCTTGGGCCAGTCATACTCTCTCAAGCTAATCCACCTCACAGGGTTGTTGTTGTGGGGAAAATAGGAGGAGGAAGGTTTGTTGAATATGTTGTCGCTTTGGATTATTTATAAAAATAATATATGGAATGAACTCTCAGAACAAGAACTTGATACATATTCAGTTTCAAAAAAGAATCTGAGATAATGATAGGATCAAGCAGAATTGTTTCAAAAGTTGGAAGCAGAGAAACTAATTTATTTTTCATAGAAGATAGCAAAAAAATACCCAAAGATTCTGTAATAAATGTTGTTACTCATATTTTCTTTCACATAAAAATTGAGAAATGAATTCTAGGAATTATGGATGATATCCACATTTTGTGGCAATTACTTTGACTGTTGAAGACGCCTCAAAGTTGATCATTTGTAACTTGCCTTGCACTGTTCATTTTAAGTTCATGAGATTTAGAAATAAAATAGACAATATCCAATTTACCAAAACAAGATTTTGACATTAACAGCATGAGGGATTAGCAATGTAGGTTAAGTTAGGTTGAGAATAAACTTTACTAAACATAATGGGATTTTTCAGTAAATATATATGGAATTGCATTAATGTATGTTTTTAACAAGTTCTTAATTGAAATTTAAATCTTTAGTTCATGAGCTGGATAGTTATAGCAGAACTGGTAAGGGTTCATTGGAATATGACTGTATTCAGGACTAACAAATAATATTACTAACTGGTCTACATCCTCCTCCTTCTTGAATTTCTTTGAGTCCAATCTTTGATATTGGTTTTCTCCCCAACAAATATCTCAGCAAGTTTGAGGATCCCATATATGACACAAATATTGTTTCCTGCTTGGGTGTCTTTGAAACAGCCACAGATTGAGAGGGATATGATCTTTATGATGTGAATAATGGTTCATATATATTTCTGTGATGTCAGCAACAGTCTAGAAGTTCATTCATTTTCTTTGAAGCAAAGTGCCAAAGAAATACTTCTTGTGATACCTGGTGTGCTTTAAAAGTTTACAGCTGGGCTATTTGACATTACTGCCAATATTTGTTTATTGAAAAATCGATGCAAATATTTTTTTAAATTGCCTTTGCAGGAACATTTAACATAAAAGAACATTATGATATGTACAACAGCTTTTGGTTTGCCTATATTAATGAAAAGTGCCAATAGAATTCTTTCCTGCTATTCTTCATACTCGTGTCTAAGACTGGCAGCTATAAGATACTGCACAATAAATGGGTAAGCTATCAAATATTAAGTATTACTATGAAATGAAAATATTAACATAGCACTGGTATTACTTTTCTTTAAAAATTGAATAAAGAATTAGTTGCTAACCATCATCTTCTAGAATATAGTATAGTGAAATTTGGATCAATAGGCTGGCTTTAGGGCTTACCTTGTTTGGAGTGAAACAGTTTTATTGAACAGTTTAGTACAGTTTTTCAGTACTTAAAGTATGATTAAATGGGAGATGAAGGTTCTGAAATTACTGTGGGCAGAAATAATAAATTACTTTCTCAGGTTAATACATGGGATCATGTTATATACATAATTAATAACAGATTTGCTGCTTAACAAAAGAAATTTACAAGTAGTCTTTTACTTACAACCATTTGTTTAATGATGGTTTAAAATTACAAGACCTATATTCACACTTAATGATCTTTGCATCATCTCTGTAGACACTAGATTGCAGTTGGGATTCTTGATGACCAGCTCCCATTTATGACTGGTTGCAGACATGTCAAACAACAGATTTGGCCCATGGGACTGTCCCAGAAATGGCAAGGGACCAGCCCCTGCTGGCCTGGCCCTTTCCACCCCAGCTGGGTGCTCCCTCAGCGCATGCACAGGAAACAGTGAGCACTCAGCGGTATACAACAGCAGCTGCAGCTCATTTGTCTCATCCCACCCCTTCTGTCCTCGCCCTATCAAGCCCAGCTATGCCCCACTTTGTCGGGCCTCTCCTCTTCTTCTCCGCCTCTGCTTTGCCAGGTCACATCTCACCACGCTCAGCCCCACTTTGCTGGGCCTCTCCTCTCCTTGCTCAGGCCATGGAATTCTGTCAGCCTTGTGCCCTAGGGCTTGGGATGCAGTATCCTTGATGGAGTGTCTCACACGTTGCCAGCTGCCGGCAGTTACAGGCTGTAGCTCTATATGCGACATGAGTGCCTCATTCCCCTCTCCAGCCCTACAATGTGGCAGAGAGAGTGACTGGGAGCTGGCCCCTCCAACACTCGGCTTGTGCCACAACACGCTCCCATTTCTGTACCTTTCATCCCACTGGCCGTATCCCATCCGCCGGGCGGTATGGAGAGAGGAAGGAAGGAGAAGGGAATGAGAAAGAGGAGGCAGAGAAGGAGGGATGGAGAGAAATGGAAAGTGAAGGAAGGAAGGAGGAGGTAAGCACAGATGGGCACCCCCTCGGGGAAGTGGAGCTGCACTAGGCTGGGCTGTCGGGTCCTGGTGCCACAGGAGCTTGAGGGCTGGGTGCTTGACCTTGGCTGCCCAGCACTCTGGGCAACCTACGCCACCATCCAGCCCCCCCTCAGCCTAAGACGGACGGTGAGGCTCCTCCAGTGGACCATGCCCTGGTGCTCACCTCAGTCCCACTCCCCCTCCTCTGGAGACCCTCAGATCTGCCCGAGTCCTGCTCAGGCCCTCACAGGTGCCCCGACGCAAGCTACGTCAAGCTGGCCACACCCATCTAGTAGGCCATGCCCACCCCAGCCATGCCCAGCCAGTAGGCCACGCCCATCTTGGCCATACCCTACCAGCCCCCTGAGCACAACCACAATGCTGATGCGGCCCTCAATGAAATTGAAACACGTGGCCTATTTGATAACAAAATTATTTTAAAAGTTGTTGTTGTTGTTAATTGCGAAGTCGTGTCCGACCCATCGTGACCCCATGGACAACGTTCCTCCAGGTCTTCCTGTCCTCTACCATCTTCTGGAGTCCATTTAAGTTCACACCTACTGCTTCAGTGACTCCATCCAGCCATCTCATTCTCTGTCGTCCCTTCTTCTATTGCCCTCAATCTTTCCCAGCATTAGGCCCTTCTCCAGTGAGTCCTTCCTTCTCATTAGGTGGCCAAAGTATTTGAGTTTCAACTTCAGGATCTGGCTTTCTAAAGAGCAGTCGGGGTTGATCTCTTCTAGGACTGACCAGTTTGAACGCCTTGCAGTCCAAGGGACTCGCAGGAGTCTTCTCCAGCACCATAGTTCAAAGACCTCAGTTTTTTTGCGCTCAGCCTTTCTTATGGTCCAACTTTCACAGCCATACATTGCAACTGGGAAAACCATGGCCTGGACTATACGCACTTTTGTTGGCAGGGTGATGTCTCTGCTTTTTTTTTTTTAAGCTTAGATAAGCTTAAAAATAAAAATAAAAAAGATAACCTTTTTTTAAAAGTATCTAAGCTTAATTCAAGAATACAGATTTTCTATTTTAACAACTCATTCTGCTTCATGAATATAAACTGGGTCAATAGGATTTGGTTTTTTTTAAAGATTTAGAAAATGTAATGGATAGTTTTCAAGTCTTAATAATGCAACAAAGCATTGTTCAGAAGCAGTGTACTTCTAAGTATTAAATACTGGGCACTAGTATTTTTATGATTATATGCTTTGTTTTTTACTGTCCAAATAATGCAATCAGTTTGCTGTTGAAAACAGTAAGCAATTACATAGATTTTTGTCAGTCCAAGGGACACATTCTTATGATATCATGGTTAGAGATCAATGAGTCTGAAGTTATTATTTAAAAGAGTGTTCAGTGATCAGTTCAAGCTGTAAAATTATATTGAGTAATGATACATCTCAGTTTCCCTTATTTATAGCAAAATGAAATCCAGAAGAAAGTCAGATCATCTGGAGAGAACAGCAAATGACTTTCGACATGAGGTTGGTAACGTAATGTATGAGTATGAAATGTGCTATATATGGTGAAGGTATTGGATAAATTTGGTAATAATTTGACCCTTCTCTATAATCATCTGTTTTCATCTATAACCCTTTGCAACTTGCTCCACGGTCATCCACATTTTAGTTACCTCCCTTTTGGATTATTGCAATGTACTGTGCATGGAGCTGCCCTTAAAGACAGTCTGAAAGCTGCAAGTGATTTGGAATGCAGTGGTATGCACAGTTTTGGGGATCCCACAATTTACCCAAGTAACACAACTGGCTGTACTTGTTTTCTCCAGTACAGGAGATGGAGAATCCACCAATGGGTTTTCTCTGTCTGCCTGCTCTTCAGACCAAGTAGCCAAATTTGACACGTCCCCTCTTGCTAGGAGATCCAGTCTTGTCTTGGTCTCAAGCTCTTGAAGACGTGTCAGGGTTGGCTCTCTCAGCAGATTAGCAGGTAGTAAACCATTGGTGAGTTCTCCCTTTAATAGTAATATTCCTCAATATAATTTAATAATCCTCACAGTCTGGGAAACATTTCCTACAGTTCCCTGAAGCCTTGGGCTGAGCGCTGCCTTAAATCAGAGGCTTTCGAACTGCAGGGTGTATGTGTGTGTGGGGGGGGGGGGAAGACAATTGCCTTTGATTCCTTCCATTTTCCCCAGGGCTCTGGGGGAAAGGAATTTGTTGCTTTTTTGTGAGCAGCTCACAAACTGCCTGAGGTGATATTGTCACCTCCACTCTTAAGACCCAGGGAACAGCGTTCCCACCTCAGATTGATTCTATTTTACTTCCCAGTTTGAGGCAGCGAAATTTAAAATGACTCCCAAGGCTCTGTTTTTTCCTTTCTCACAATTGGAGACAAATTGGAGCAATTTCCCACAGCCAATGCACTAGCTTCTGCCAGGACCTTCCCAACGTTGGGGAAACTTCCCCTGTGTGGTCACAGTAGTTGTTTTCAGCGGCAGAGCAAGTGACAGCCGCCATTTTGTTACCACTAAAACAACGAAGAGTAAAAAGTTTTCCTGGCATACCTAGGCTGTTTAATCTTCCTCCTGTGATTTGATTGTTTCTGTCTTCTGGATCTTTGGTCCCTGGTCAGGTCAACACAGCCCTAGAGTCCCTAATTTCCACCCGAATTCTGACGGCCGCCATTTTGAATACCATGTTTTTTTTAAAAAATGAACAAATAAATAAATAAATAAATAAATAAAATAGAGTAAAATAAAATAAAATTTAGACCTCATCAGGCCAGAGTCTTATAGTCACAAAGGCCTGAGTGAATTTTGAGGGACGTTTTGTTTCATAATATTATACACTAAATCAGCGGTTCTCAACCTGTGGGTCACAACCCCATTTGGGGTCGAACGACCATTTCACAGAGGTCACCAAACAACGCAGTCCGCCATTTTTTTCCCCTTTTCCTTAGCTGTGATACTCCCTCTTATTCTATTGGCTTTTGAAAACCAATAGAATAGACTCTATTTAAGAGAGTTTATTCTATTGGCGTTCAAAAGCCAATAGAATCTATTGGCTTTCGAAAGCCAATAGAATAGACTCTCTTGAATAGAGTCTAATTCTATTGGCTTTTAAAAGCCAATAGGAATTGTCCAGGCTGTCTCTGCCCTGCTGAGCCCGCCAAAAGTACCAGTCTGCAAACAGTGCTGCAAGTTGTCTGTAGCTAAGGCGAGGTTTCTGGACGTTTCCACCCCTCCCTGCTGAGCAACTACTAAATGTAAGTAAAAGAGGGCCTGGGGTGGGAGGTGGGAGACCGGCGGATGCAGGGAGGGTTGCTGGCGCACGTGGGGCCTGGCAGGTGGCTTACCTCCCTTCAGCTGGGCCAGCTGGTGGCCCAGATGGTGATTGCCCTGCACCCTCACTGCCGCGTGCCATGGCCATCCTGCCTGCCACCGCACCAAACATGCGGTGGCCAAGATAAGGCTAGCATGGCAGCGGTGGGCACAGGGAGGGTTGCTGGCGTGCGTGGGGCCCGGTGGGTGGCTTACTTCCCTTGGGTTGGGCCAGCTAGTGGCCCAGCCGGTGGTTGGCCTGCGCCATCACTGCCGCTTGCCAGCTACGCCTCAGCCGGTGCAGGGGGCGGTACCACACATGTGCGGCATTCCCGGCCGAGGTGGTTGCTGGGCGACGGCCTGCATGCACCTCGGCATGCCCAGCGTGCACTCCAGCCACAGGAGAGGAGGCGGAGCATGCGTGCCTCCTCCTGCCCCACCCACCAGGTAGTCCTCGACTTACGACCACATGGTTGGGGGTCGCGGCATTAGGAAGGTTGAGAACCACTACACTAAATTAATCAAGCTTCTATTGATCCTCATCTTTCCTTGCCTGGCCTCTATTCAGGCCCTCTGCACCCTTCATTGGGCCATCTGGAGCATTTTGACTGGCCACCTAAGGCTTCTGGGCGGAGCCCAGAGCGGGTCCCCAACCGTGCCTTCGGCATCAGCTGCCATTGCCGTGACCAAGCCCAGATAGAGTTGCCTTTTTGGTCAGGTGGTCAGGGGAGCAGTCCTCGTTACTTGCTCCAATTTCGCTTCCACCAACTGCTTGCCTGCCAGAGCTTTGCCTCAGTTTCTCTGAGACAGCTCAATCTAGGATGGAGGACTCCACTGGGCCTCAACCCATGTGCACAGCTCCTCCATCCTCTCGTTATGGCCGACAGACCACCTCCAATCCGGAGGGAGCAGGCAAGCCCACAACCAAGGCTATGGGCACTCTCAGGAAAACTTCCAAGTTGGCAGAAAAGCATGCCAGCTCTAAGCACCAGGCTCTGGAGAAGGAGCTCTCCAGAGCACCGAGACAGGCAGGATTAGATATGGACCAAGTGGCAGCCCCTGAGTTTGACCTTCCTTTAGGTCCTTCGACCTTAGCTCAGGGCATGTGGTCTCTGACAGAAGCTCCCACCACACCTTCTGTACGACCTCAGTATACAGTTTTTAATCCCTCACTTCACTTGGGTTCAGCCCATGAGGCTGCCTTTACTCCAATTGCAGCAGGGCTCAGGGGTCCTGACCTCAGAGATATTTTCTCCAAACGAATGGAGGCCCTGTTATCCAAGGTGGTGGACTGTGCTCTAGCAGAACAATCTCTCCATCCACCTGAACAGGGGGCGTCCACATCAGCTGTGCCGCCTTATGTTCCTCCTGCAGGGATCTCTATATTTCAGGAGCCCACATCTCCTGTACACTCCTCAATGAGCGGATACTCATCTCCGCCAGGGTGAGGACCAACCGGACTTCAATTTTTCAGAGGAGGAGGAACTCCCCCCTGAACCCTCCCCATCTGGAGGTCTATTCAATCCGGCCCTCCCCACTGAACCCTCCCCATCTGGAGATCTATTCAATCCGGCTTCGCAAGGCCGCCTCAACTGCAAATATTGGGTAGGATCAGTCCCCTCAACCGCAGGCCACATCGGATTTCAATCCAAATCTGATATTCCTTGAAATGGTGGCAGCCCAGCACCACGCTCCCTCCTATATTTCTCAAGGGGATTAAAAAGCAATGGGTCTCCCCTTCCTCATTTCCTTCCGTAAGCGAGTCAGATAAACAGGATCCTTGGTACCTCTACAGACTTAAGTGAGGTTCTTGAGGTCCCCAAGGTGGATCAGGTCTGGACCCCACTGGTATCCCAGATTGTGGTCGCTGAGGATATGTCTGAGGCACTTAAAGTGGGCGACAAGAAGTGGGAACAAACTTTCCATAAGACTCATCAATCAGCGGCATGGGCTATCAAAACGGCCACCTGGGCATCCTTTTTTGTCCGGACCACCCTCTTATGTCTACACCAACTACAGGCCAGAGTCCTTCCTGAGGACATTCGGACTCACCAGGACCTAAGTACAATGGTGGCTGCAACTGAGTATGCCGTGGATGCGGCCAACTTTGCTTTCAGGTCCCTAGCCTTCAACATCACAGCCAGAAGGATGCTATGGCTGAAACACTGGTGGGCTGATGCCAAAGTCAAATGGCTGCCTCATATCTGGGCAACAATCTCTTTGGGGAGGTACTGAATCCGTATCTTGTTGAGAACAAGGATAAACGGAAGGTTATGGCACACCTTACTAGATGGTCCGACAAAAGTGCCAATCCATATTTCCGCAGGCAGTTCCTTCGAACAGCAGCAGGTTCAGCAGCCACCCAGCCACCCTGTTCATACAAACCCCAGCAGGACAGGCCACATGATCCTCCGTATGATAGACCGGGCTTTCGCCCCAGGCAACAGAACCAATCTAAGAGGCCAGTTCGAGGGGCAGGACATCCCTTCAGGAAGTTCAAAGGACTCTCACTCCACACTCCCCATAGGGGGAAGACTTGCCCACTTCTTCCATCAGTGGGAACTCACATCCACGGATGTCTGGGTCTTACAAACAATCCAGTTTGGACTGTCCCTGGAATTTCTGGCCAGTCCCCCGGGTCGCTTCATCTCCTGATCCAACTCTCGGGATCCGATAAAAAAGGGACTTATGCAGGAGGCCATTCAACATCTCCTAGAGATTTAGGCCATAGAACAGGTTCTGCCGGATCACGTAGGCAGGGGATTCTACTCTGTCCTCTTTATGGTTCCCAAGACCTCGGAGGAATGGAGGGCAATTCTAGCCCTTAAGGGTCTGAACTATTACATTGCTTACAAAAAGTTCAAAAAGCAATCTCTCCAGTCCATTCCGGGAGGCACCAGACAAGGAGATTTCCTGGCAACAGTAGACCTCACGGAAGCGTATCTCCACATCCCCATCCATTCAGAACACCGGCGGTTCCTCAGGCCCTGTTACAGGGGCCTCCATTTCCAATACAAGGCCCTTCCGTTTGGCTTTTTCTCAGCACCCAGGGTGTTCACCGAGATCCTGGCTGTTCTGGCCGCCCACTTGCGGAAGGTACCGGTACGCGTCCAATGTTATCTGGACGATATTCTGATCCAAACGTTGTCCTTCCGGGTGGCCCAGTTGGACCTGCAACTAACTATTCGGGTCCTCCAGCAGCAC